CATTTCTAGGGTTCACAGCTGCCATCTTTGAGCCACCAAGGTCAGAGAAAGGACCATTATTAGAACCACTTTAATCAATTTGTTTCTTATAACCTTACTGGTGAGAAAACTGAGAGTGAAATAGACAAGTGACTACTGTAGAGCCAGTATAAACCAAATAGAAGCTTCAAATTCATTTCTGTCAGATCCTGATGCCCATTAAGAAAAAAAACAAACAAATCCAAAATTAAAACCAAACAACAGATGCCTGAACAAAGGAAGCTTCCATTCAGGGTCTGCAAAAAGTATTGGAACAAGCCAGACGTGGGTGGCTCATGCCTGTAATCCTAGCTACTCAGGAGGCTGAGATCTGAGGATCATGGTTTGATGTCAGCCCCAGGAAGAAAAGTCCCTGTGAGACTGGAAGTGTTGCTGTGGCTCAAGTGGTAGAGCACTAACCTTGAGCACCAAGAGGCTCAGGGATAGCGTCCAGGCCTTGAGTTCAAGCCCCACAACAAATTAAAATCTAAATAAATAAATAAATGTACCAGAACCTAAAAATCAAGGAAATCCCTAAGTTAGATCAGTCCCAGTGCAAGAAGAGTTTGAGATTTTCAAGGAAGCTCCTTAGTTCTTTCCAGAGTCCAAAAATGTCCTCTAACCTCGAGAGTCTTTGTCACCCACCAGGCCAGTGGCTGGTGGCAGGACAGGGTGATGGGGTTACTTTGACTGTGGCCATGTGGCACCAGGAAAACCCCAACCCCCTTCCGGCCTCTTTGTCTTATTTAGGGCTCCATTTGCCCCTGTCCTCTCACATAGCCCTGCTGGTCTTGACTCTGAAGCAAAGGAGTAAACATCTTGGGGCTCTTTATTAGTTTATTTCAGAAGATGGAGCCTGTTTGTCCCTGGGGTCCGTCCTTTTTTTATGGCCTCCAGCCCTTCTTGACAAATTCTAGTGACTGGAGAGAACCCCCTGCTTTCTACAGCAGATCATTAAAACACCACCATAAACCCAGGGCCATAAAACATTATTTGCCTGAGCATAAAAGGAGGGTAGATTTTCCCAGAATGACAACAGGCCCTGCTTTCTCCTGCTGGGAAAGGCGGCACAGGGGTGCAATGGTTTCTAAATTCCTTATCTCACAACTGCTTTGTGAAACAACCCTGTTGGGAGGGCAGCCAAAATTATTGATTTATTTGTGCCACAGATTCCAAAGCATTTTTAATGAGAGAACATGGCCATGCCTTGCCAGTGTGTCTTGGGATAACTCAGTCAGAGAGCACACTCTCTGGCACTGACACAGTGTGTCAGAGGAAATGTGCAGTTCTACAAACCAGAGGGCTGTCTGTGTGTCACAAGCCTTCCCAGAGGGAGAAACATCCATCTCTCCCTTTCCAATGGTCTGCTCATTTTCCAGCCCAAACCAATCAACATGCCCAACCGGACTGGTTCTTACAGCTAAGTCTGGCTTTCCAAGGAAGCCTCTACTCATAGTCCCCCATTGAAGGGGATTTCTAGTTGGTTCCCCATGACATCATCTGGCATACTTCTTTCATTTATTCATCTTTCATTCATTTGGTTCTTATCAAGCACCTCTTAAGTGCCAGTTACTGATCTAAGACCTGGGGTCACAGCCATGGAAAATATAAATGAGGTCCTGCTGACACAAGCTTATTGCTTGTGAGGCAGCAAATATCATTAATATCAGATTCAGCTCATCCTATTATCTGAAGTCATGGGGACCAAATAGGCCTAGACATTTTGATTTTTTTTGGGGGGGTGGTGAGTGGGGTAAGAACAGGTCCATATCTTATGTGTTGCAAACCGGACCACATTTTCATCCGAACAAGGATCCAATAATCAAATATGTTCCTTGTATTTCTTTCCAAGAAAAGGGTAAGCATTCACTTTATGTGGTAACAAATGAAGACTATGGTCTTGTCGTGTGAGTTACAGTTTTGAAGAAGCAGTTTGGAGACCTGTTGTCAGACCTACTTGTTCTAGAAGAGCAGGAATCCAGGCCCAAGTGGATGCCTGGCCCATGTTCAGTGGGGGCTTTCTTTCCACTCACTGATTTTCAAAGTAATCTCTCTTTATACTCAGGACTCCTACCAGGTAGAGTATCTCTTTCTGTGTGTTGCTTTGTGCATGTATTTAAGAGGCTTATTGAGGTGCTGAGAGGCCTTAGGACCCAGCCAGAGGCCCTTTCCCAGCTAGAAAGTGGCAGGGCAGGAACTAAAACTCCAGGCTCCTGAGCGGCACTCTGGGCCACACTACCCAATGCTATCTTTCTCCATGGAAGAGTACAAAACAAGGAACAGGGCGATTGGGGCTGTGTGCAACACGCCAAGGCAATTGGACAAAAGCAGTCCATGTCCCATACAACTCAGAAAACAGCCATTAACATTCGTCATTGGGTGTTTCTGGGATGATTGTATAGGTGGAACAAATTCTCAGGCTAAGTCCTTTGATCCTTATAGAATCAGCTCATCTATACAAGGTGCCTCTTCGATTCTAAGGAACTAGGGTGTCATGAAGCTTCCTTTCCTTCCAGAGTTCCATTCATAGCCACTCACTTCCTGCCACTTAGTGCTGCTGGGTCCTGGAGTTCTGCTGCCCCAGGAGAGAGCTGAGAGGACCTCTGGGAGACAGGAATTTCAGGCTGCAACCACTGGGCAGAAGGGCTAAGGAGAATGGGAAGGACAGGGGGACATTTCCTGCCCCAGGCCCATTTGCCAAGCACAGAGACTTCTCTCTCTCTTTTTTTTTATAACCTTTTCTCCAGCGGGCAGATCTTAATCCACATGAAAAATTATAGAACACCAACTAGAGTCTAAATGTTCAAAACCTAGAGAGAGTTAAAGGACACTTGGGGAGCTGTCTCAAGGAGTAATTTTGAGAACCTCAGGCTTTCTCTCCTTAAGGCTGCCTGTGCCCTTGTAACAAAACAGTCCGACGGGGATAAGCAGGAGCATTTATCTCTGCAAGTTTATGGAAAGCTCACAAAGCCAAAGCAAGCTGAGGACAGAGAAGTGCTCACATTTGTTCCCAACAACTAAGGTCTGGGCAGGGGCAACAGGGAGTAGGGTGATGTAACTGGAACCTCTACTTCCGCATACCCTAGGGTGGTCAGCTGTGTGTGTTGGGGTGGGGGGAGGGTTGGCACAGGAACGACCCTAAAGAGCCACCACCTGAAAGTATGCAGGTCACGGATGGATTTTGTTGCCTTCAGGTCAAGTGCATACAGATGACCAACTACCAAAAGTAGATCTGTGTGTGTGTATGTGTGTGTGTGTGTGTGCCTCCCTCTTGAATCTTTGACCCCTAAAGGAGGAGAATTATAAAGAAGAATTGAGCTGCAGGATGAGGCACTGTTTGGGGGTGGTGTCCCTAGCGTGCTGGGGGCGGATGCACCTCCCCTTCAGTCTTGCCCAACCAGTGCCCCCAAATCACGACAAAGTGTTCAAAAGTTCCGAACCAGAACCCGATTTAACTGAAATTCTTTTCTTCTCACCTGAGAACAGACGCCTGCCCGGGCGCAGCAGGACCACGCATCCACGAGTCCCGCCTGGCCTCGCTGGGGCTGGGTGGCAGCCAGGGGAGCAATGGTGCCCCCCCCGAACCCCTGCTGCACGGGGCCCACCCTATGGTCCAGGCTAGGGGCTTAGGTACCCTTCCCTAAGAGTAAGAAGGAGATTTATTTCCCCAGGAGCTTCCACAGCAGGCAGCAGTCCCAGCGGAGGGGACTGGGGTAGGCTAGCCAAGGAATCCAGCTTAGAGAGTTGGGGTTCAGCCTTGCACAGGTCGGCCGCTTTGGAGGAAGAGCTTTAGCCAGCCCGGCGGCGGGCAGCAGTGGCTTCGGAGGAGACCTCTCTCAGCAGATGCCTGGGGGATGGGGAACCTAGAGAAGGGGGCCCAAGGCGGGGGAGGGGGGGAAGACGTACCCCGCCTTCCGACACCCCAGCCCGTAGCACGGCTTTAAAATCCTGCGAAGTTTGTCATAGGCCGGCCTCACCACGCATGCGCAAAGGCAAAGTTTAGGGTGGGTTTTTTCCCCCTCTTTCTCCCCCCCTCCCCAGCTTCCCTCTCTCTTTCCAGCCGCCTTTGGTTCTGCAACTTAAAAAAAAAATCCCCCCCCCCCTCCCCGGGTATAGCAGAGGAAAGAGGGAGTCCGGAGAGAAGGAGGGAGAAAGTGCGGCAGTTGGCCAGGAGGGCCGGGGGGTGGGGTGGGGGGGACGCGGTCCCCGCGGCGGTCAGTCTGCGGGGCACCGGATCGCGTGGAAAGCTTGCTGCAGGCTCCCAGGCGCCGCCGCCGCCGCCGCCCAGAGTCCGGTTCCGTGCGGCCGCTGCCCCGCGAGCTCCTCCCGCCGCCTGCGCCGCTGGGTCCCGGACCGTCCGCCGCCCGCCGCCTCCCTCCCGCCCCGCGGACCCGGGCGCTGATCGTGGAGGAGGAGGTGTGCAGCCTCGCGGGCCACGGTCCTCCGGAGCTGAGTCGCCGTCTTGGCGGAGATCTGCGTCCTCGCTCCTCCCCAGCCCTGCGTCCGCGGTGCCCTCGCTCCTCTCCGCCCTTCGCCCTGGAAAGGCGGGGAAAAGAGGGGGAGATTAATCCGAAGAGAGAAAAGAAGGGGGTGAGGCCAGGCGGAGGGGGGGGGCGAAGCAGCCAACGACTCCCCTCGGGCAGTTGCCCTTCGTTCTCTCTACCCACCGCGCGGCAGAAAGTTTGGAACCAGCTGGCACCTATTTTGCGCCCCATTTTTTTTAAAAACCAGACCCTAAAATGAAAGGACAAAATTTGGCGCTGACTCGTGCAGCTCTGATGGCGACTTGTGCGTTTTCAGCCGTATCTCCTGGAGAAAAGGCCATGCGCGCCTGATTGTTCGGTGGCCCCAAAGCTGCTGCTGCTGCTGCGTGTGTGTGTGTGTGTGTGTGTGTGTGTGTGTGTGTGCGTGCGCGCGCGCCTGGGTGTATGTGTCTGTGTGTACACAGACGTCCACACACTAGCTCGGCTACAGGATCAGCTCCTGGAAACAGACGTTTCGGCCACAGACCGGAGAGGAGGAGCTGGAGCTCAGGAGGCGTGAGTCGCCCGAGTTTGCAGAGTCCGTGGTGTGAATGAACTGGGGGCACCTGGGCGCAGGGATCGCCCCCCTCCCTTCCCCCGCCTCGGGCCAGAGTAGAGTAGTGGGGCATTTTTTTTTCATCCTCTGTGAAGAATTTTTTTTTATTATTTGTTGTAAAGTCTTTTGCACAATCACGCCCACATTTGGGGTTGGAAAGCCCTAATTACCACCGTCGCTGATGGACGTTGGAGAGGGAGCGCCTCGCCGCGGAACAGTCGCCTGCGCGCCCTTGCCGGACCGCGGCTCCTTCACTGCGTCCCGGAGCAGCTCTGCCCTTGCTGCGGGCCGGCGTGCGTCGGCACCCCCTCGGTTCCCGGGCTCTGCTCAGCGCCACCCTACCTCGAGATCCCAGGCCTGGGCGCCAGCGCCTGCTTTGGCTCCGGTTCACTGCGCCCACCCGACGCGCCCAGGAGGACTCCGCAACTCTGCTCCGGAGAGTCCCGCCAGGTTTAACCCGGCCGCTCCGCCTGGATTCCTTGGCTGCCCTCGCTCGGGTGGCGACTTCCTCCCCGCGCCCCCTCCCCCTCGCCATGAAGGTAGGTGTGCGGCGCCGCCGACGCTCGCCACTTTTTTTTTTTGGAGGGTGGGGGGAGTTCACTGAGTTCCTTCCATCTCTTTCTATCCCTCCATTTCTCCGCTCGCCTTGGGGAGGCTGAGCTCTGGCGTCGCTGGCAGGGACTCCTACCTCTCCGTCCTTACCCTCAGTGCACTGTCTCAGGGTCCCCGGGGAGTTCTGGTCACACCAAGTATTCTACAAACTTGGGTGAACTTCGGAGGAAAAAGTGGGGAAGAGCGATGACCACCCCCCCTAAAAAAAAAAAACCCAAACAAACACACAAGCAAAACAAAAACGGAGCGCAGGTCACTGGTATTTTAACCCTGAGAACTTCCAAGTGGAATTTACTGTGTGCAGTTTGGGTAAACGGGTCAGGATTCAATTCAACAAATGTTTATCCAGTGCCCACGGCGTGGATTCGTTCGGGAGGGTGAGTGGCCAGCGCGCGAGACAAAAAAAGAAAGAAAGAAAAAAGAAAGAAACGGGACTCGTTGGTTAGAAGAACCGGCTACCCAGGACCAGCTCTGGCCCCACCCCCACTCCACGGCGGAGGCCAGGTTGCGAGCAGGCTCGTCCTGGCCGGGTAACCGGAGCGGGGCAGGCCCCTGTGCCTTTAAGAGTGCCTGGCGGGGGGCCAGCGCGCACCCCAGCGCGGGGAGCCGGGTCGCGTTATTAGCATTATTAGCCGCCACTGGGTGAGCTCCGGCGCTGCGCCGCGGCGGTGGGGGCGGGAAGCGGTGGTCCTGGTGGCTCTCATCCCGACGGCGGCGGGAGCGCCCCGACCTCCGGAGCCAGCCGAGTCCGCCCGGTCCTTTACAAACACTAGGGCCTGCGGGTCCGGAGAGCGGGAGGGGGCCGGTTTGTGAACTCGTGTTTGTTTTAATTGTCAGTTGTATGTTAAAGCCGAGTCACACACTCCGAGGGTCACCGAGAGTTCACTTTTACGAAAAGTTAAAGAGGCTTCTAGCACTAGCACTCAGCTCTCCAGATCACTTTCTGCCCTCCAGGATTTTATCCTAATTTCCATTTTCTTTCCCAAGATCGTTCCCATTTTTCAGTTTCCTAGATAAAGGAGGCTAGCATTGGAACTAAGATGTTTCCTAAAAACAACCTCTCGCCTAAAAGGTTTTATTATTTTTTTAAATCCTAAAATCCCTCCACCCCCAGCCCTGTGTTGCTTTCCAGTCCTTGTCTGCGAGCCCTTCTCTCCCGGCTCTGTCTAAATGGACAACTCAGTTGGAAATCATTTAGGCCCTGTGGGGAGATCACACCCCCTCGGCCCCTCCGCCCTTGCCCTCCGACTAACGTGAACACAATCGCTGCCGAGTCAGCCGGAGATTTGATTTCTAGACAGTCTCCACCAGGAACATTTCGAGGGGGCGATGCCGAGAGCGCGCGACGACCGAGGGACAGTGGGGAGTGTTGGGTGGGGGGTGCGCGCGCGCTCCCTGAGCGGAATGGGAGGAAAGTAAAGAATCGTCTTCTTCCCTCCAAACCCCGTCAGGGAAGACCTCCCGAAGAGGCCGAGTCAATGTCCCTTGTCTTCCCCTAGCCTCCCAGAGCGCTCCAGTGCACAAGGGGTTAGCCCTGTGCGTGCTGATCTCTGAGCCCGAAAGGCTGCCTATTCTTCCCTCGCTGTGCGGTGCCGGCTGCCCCCTGTTGGTCACGCGCCGGTAAAGCACCCCACAGTTCCGTCCCTTCCTCTGGGCGCGCAGTGGATCTGCTCTCCTTTCCCACCTCATCCTTTTGGACCACCAGGCCCAACATGGCCCCCGTGATCTCCCCAGCTATACCCCAGACGAGCTGCAAGGCGCAACCGTTGAGTTAGGAAGAGGCCATAGGTCTAACCCAGCAAAAAGGGATTGGTCAACTGGACGAAAGGTTAGTACTCCTTCTGGACATAGCATGGACGGTGTCTTCATCCTAGGAGGCCATACCCGCAGCTTCCTAGGATTTGGTCTTTCCAGATTTCGGTGGAATTAGATGTGTTGTTTTCCTTCTCCTCTATTAAAATGTGGGGGTGAAACAGCCCCCAAAGATCAGACTTGGATTGATCTTTCCTTTTCTTTCTCCCCCAATACCACAATGCCAACCTCTGATCAGAGTTGCCTGTGTGCCCTGTGCTGTGAGAGTTTGTTAGATGTTCCGCATTGTAAAGTGTAAGGGGAAAGAGTCTGGTGGAAGAGAGGGGTGTTGATGTCTGAAGATCCCTGTGGATGTGATGGATGAAGGGCAGGAAAGAAAAGAACCCCACCAGATCATTCTTCCCTTGGAGCCTTCCTGTTTCTGGACCTGATGTCCATTCCAAGAACCTGGTGGTCAGAAGCTCTTCTTTATCCATGTACTGATTCTGGCCCTGCGGTAGCCTTGCCTCCTCCCTCAGACTATTTCCCTTAATGCTTGTGTGCACACCCAGCATGCTGTGTACTCACATCCCAGAGGCTTAGTGAGCCCTAGCTCCCTCCACTGAGCCCGGCTCCAGTTGTGGGGTGTAATGGCTTCTTTGCTGCCTCAAAAGCAGACTTCTTTCTGGCCTCCGTCTGCTCCATTCTTCTCCAGCTCCTCTAGATTCCGTCCTTGGTTTTCAGACAGACATCTCAAGTTTGTGGCTGCGAACTATGCTTTGCTTTCGTCTCCTTCTTCTTGTTCTCTACAAGTTTCTCCAACTCTTTCCCTGCTTTAAGAAGAGACTGGAGTGGGGAAACATAGTTTAGTTTCTAGCAAGAGCCGAGATTCTTCTTGGAGTCTCCCATCTTCCTTTCTGCCACCATAAGCCTGGGTCAACTTCTTCCGCCTAGTTGGCATCTCCCATTTGGGCCCTAAATGTACAGTCTGGTCGACAGGATGCCCAGACGTGAGGCAGGGTCAGTGGCCAGAGGCCCTTGCTCAGCCTTTGCATCTTTTCTCTTAAGGGATTGTCTGCCCTGCAGTCGGGTGCCACATAGGTTTGCTCCAGCGTCCTGCAGCTCCCACCTCCAAGGGGGGTGTCCTCTGATCAGCTTTCCCCTGTCGTTGTTCTATCTGGTCACCCTCGGCCTGCACCCCAATTGACACCTATAACCCAACGCGAAGGGTAGTTTTTAGGAAGTGGCTTAAAGGGGAGACACTAGATTGAGCTGTAGTGGCTTGGGGTGCGCAAACGCCCTCTTTAACCTTATTTCACCCCTGCGCCGAACATCTCAGAAGCCCCCCCAGTCCTCCTCTCTGTATACGAGAAACAGAGTCTCAGGATCGTAACCGTGTTGGCTTTGCCGGGCCCCTGTTGGAAAACATTTAGCTCATTCTTCGGGAAAGTCAACTTCTGACCAGAACTTTTGTTTTACCCTTAGTGTGACAGTCTCCCGAGAGGTCTCATTTCATACTGTCTTTTCGGATCAGATCTCTTGGTAAACGGATGGGGGACGTTTTACCCTTGAGTCGATGTATTTATTAGTGAGTTCACTATGGGTTCCTCGAGTCTCAAACTTGTGGGGCCCTTTCTGGGTTGCGACAGAATTGGAGTGGGAAGAAGGCCAAGGTGTTTCCGGGCAAGCACACGGGGTTAAGTGGAGGCTCCACTCCAGGCGCTCTCTGGTCCGATCCCCAATTGAGCCACCCCCCTTCATCCCCCCCCTTACCCTTACCCAAGAGCTGGGGAGACCCGAGTGGAGGGAACCGGATGGCTCCATTCCCAGTTGGCTCTTGTTCTGGGAACTTGGTGGAGTCGCCCCGGGGACGCAGGGCCGAGAGTGGGTTCGGTTTGTGTGGCTTCGGCTCTAACAAAGAGATTCGCTGTAATCCGCGGAATCTGTTATCAATTTCTCCGCTGCCCGCGCCCCGCCCCGGGCGCCCCGCCCGCAGCAAACTCGGAAAGTGCGCGCGAACAGCAGCGATTTGGGAGCGCACCCCGAAGACCGTCCGAACGTGTGTATCTGTGCACGCTTATGTGTGTAAATGTGCACGAGGGTGAGTGTATCTGTGTGTGTGTGTGTGTGTGCGCAAGGCTTCGGGCGCCCTTTGCAGAGTCGACTTTGCTGCCTGGGCCGCGCGCGAAGGCAGACCTCGCCGCCCACCCCTCCCCTGGAGGAAACTTGACACTCCGGGCGGGGGTAGGGAGGGAGACAGAGTTTCTCTCTCCTCGGCTGGGGAAACTCCAGATTTCTATTCTCCAGGATGCGCCCCTAACTTTGCGGCGCTTTAGGGGGGTGCGTCTGGGCCGTGGGCTCCCGCAGCCCCAGTGGGCCGGCGCTGGGGACCACCTAAGCACTTCCTCCCGGAGAAGCCCGCAGGGGGCCCGGCCCGAGCCCCTCCGGGTGGCTGCCGCCTCCAGGGTTCCGTCCGCGCCGTCACCGAGCAGGTTGCCGGCGGAAAGCCCTGGGCCCGCCTAGAGGAGGCTCCCCGTTCCCTCCTTTCCCGAGGAAGGGGCTTCCGCAGGGGCTGCGGGCGGCGTCGCGGCCGTGGTCCGCCTCGCAAGATATGTGGACCAGCGTTTGGGAAACGTGCTCCTCTCGTCCGCGCCCGCCGCCGCCTGCAGGTGGAGGAGTCTCCGGTGGGGAGGATCGGCAGCGGAAGCTCCCCCTCCCCATCCAGAAAGTCTTCAGCCGCCGGGTCCCCCTGCGCCCTGGAATCCTGGGGGGCACACCACGGTTGTTCCGGAGCCGGCGCATCTCTGGCTCCTGTCGGGGGGGGGGGACGTCGGGGATCTCGCCAGTCCCGGCCTTTAGGATCTGAGCGGCCCGAGTCTGCGCCGGGCTGGGGAGGCCAGGCTCGGGGCGGGGGGCCTAGTTTCCAGCCTCGCAGTGAGCGGCGAGGGCGAAGGCGCCCGACCACCCCAAACCAGGAGCGAGAGAAACTCAAGGCCTGCTGGGTTTCACGTCCCCTTCCTCCGAGGCAGCTGTCAGGAGACAGAGAGAAAAATCAGAATTTGGGGGGTATGGGGGGGTGTTGGATGGAGGGGGTGGGAAGGGCAGGGAAAGCATCCTCTCCCCAAACCGGAGCCCCGAGCCCTTCGTTCCTCCATCCCTCCGCCGTCCGAAGGGGAGGCCGCGTGGGGGAGGGGGCACCTTTCCGGGGGTACGTGTGGGGGAGCCGACCTCTCCTCGCGTTATCCTCAGGTCCCCTCCCCATCTTCTCCCCGCCCCACGCTGGCTGAAGAGCGTCCAAAAGGAAACCCAGGCTGCGTTCCTCCCATCTGAAAGAAGCTTCTCTCCCTCCCCCCTCCGCTACTCTCCCCCCCCCCTAAAATCGGGCCCGTAAACTGATTATGAAACATAGCATGTTAATTCGGAACTGCTTTTCCCAGCTGGGCACTCGCGCGCCGGTCCCCGGGGCCTCGCCCCCACCCCCTGCCCTTCCCTCCCGCGTCCGAGGGGGCCGGTTTGTGAACTCGTGTTTGTTTTAATTGTCAGTTGTATGTTAAAGCCGAGTCACACACTCCGAGGGTCACCGAGAGTTCACTTTTACGAAAAGTTAAAGAGGCTTCTAGCACTAGCACTCAGCTCTCCAGATCACTTT